GAGCAGGAGGGGAGGGGAAAGAAACTCAGAGCATCATGGGGCCCCCAGCAGCCTAGGCCTATAGCAGCATAACTAAGGGAGGGCTCAGGGTCACCTGATCCAGCCCTAACTATAAGCTTTATCAAAAAGGAACGTCTTAAGTCTAATCTTAAAGGTAGAGAGGGTGTCCGCCTCCCGAACTGAGACTGGGAGTTGGTTCTATAGGAGAGGAGCTTGATAGCTAAAGGCTCTGCCTCCCATTCTGCTTCTGTGGACTCTAGGAACCACAAGTAAACCTGCAGTGTGAGAGCGAAGTGCTCTGTTAGGATGATAAGGCTCTACGAGGTCTTTAAGATACGATGGAGCCTTGTTATTAAGGGCTTTGTATGTTAGGAGAAGGATTTTGAATTCTATTCTGAATTTTACAGGGAGCCAGTGGGGAGAAGCTAATATGGGAGAGATATGATCTCTCTTGCTAGTTCCTGTCAGTACTCTGGCTGCAGCATTTTGGATTAACTGGAGGCTTTTTAGGGAATTATTGGGACATCCTGATAGTAAAGAGTTACAGTAGTCCAGCCTGGAAGTAACAAATGCATGGACCAGTTTTTCAGCATCACTTTGAGACAGGATGCTCCGGATTTTTGCAATATTGCGCAGGTGAAAGAAGGCAGATCTAGAGACTTGGTTTATGTGTGATTTAATAGTTCTTAATAATTCTGATCAAAGATGACTCCAAGGTTCCTCACAGTAGTAGTGGAGGCAAGAGCTATGTCATCTAAAGTAACTATATGATTAGACAGCAGATTTCTAAGGGTTTCAGGCCCAAGCACAATAACTTCAGTTTTGTCAGAGTTTAGAAGTAAGAAGTTGCAGGTCATCCAGGCCTTTATGTCTTTAGGACATGCTTGACCGAGTATCATCTGCATAGCAATGGAAATTTATGTTGTGCTTCCTGATAATATTGCCTAAAGGGAGCATGTATAAAATGAAGAGAATTGGACCTAACACAGAGCCCTGTGGAATGCTGTGACTAACTTCAGTAGTGGTGGTTTTGATTGGATCCCTGTTTTTTTTCACACAGGCTAAGCATATTCCACATTCCAGCCACAGAGTTCAGGGATTTCTGCTGATTGAGAGTTGAGAGGTAGAAGTAACATGCAGGGAAACATACTGACACACAGACCTCTGACATTTGTTGACACTGATTTTCTGGACTAACACAGTGTGTTTAAATAAGAAGCACTAAATGCAAACATTAAAGTGTGCTGGAATGAAGGTGAAAGAGAAGCATTTCAATAGCAAAAGGTGTGCTTTCAGATCACAGGTCTTTCAGATCTGTATAAATGATGAGCCAATCCCAGCAATATTAAAGAAGCCAGTCAAAGGTTTAGGTAGGTGGTATGATGCAGCTCTTAGTGATAAAGAGCAGATTCAGGGAGTGAGACCTGCAGTTTGGTCTTTTGCCACGATTGCTATGGCCACTGACAGTGTACAGTTTACCAGTTACTAAAGTAGAGAAGGTAGAGAGATTGTTTAGCAGGTACATTTGGAAGTGGCTAGGAGCTCCATGCTGCCTTAGTAGCATGGTCCTGTATGGAAAAGGGACTTTGGAGCTCCCTATAACCAGTTTAAAAGAGGAGTTTAAATGCACTAAGGCTAGATTGGAGATAAAATTGTCAGAATCCAGGGATGTAGCGGTGCAGCACCAAAAGTCTCAGCAGGGAGGAAGTGGAACCCAAAGGAGGCAGTAACAACCATGATACTAGATATTCAATTTTGTTGCATTCATTTGTAAAGTGTTACACATTGGCCTAGAACAACACAACAGGAACAACATAACTGACACAACTGTGGAAGCAGCCATGGAATATTATGAATTTAGAAGGTAGATGAAATGATGAACCCTTATAAATATGACTCGCCTGGCAATTAAACTATTCATGACAATTACTTTTCAATGGAATGCTAGAAGCTTAATGGCTAATGGACAAGAACTTGTCGTGGCAAGAGTGAAATACCAACTAAATTAATTCAGACAAACCACTACAATTTAAAGGATCATTTAATATTACAATTATTCTAAATAGAGTAGCATTTAAACAGATAATCTTGTAGTTAGGAAACAGAGAGCAGAGATCAGGGAACAGAGACTCCCCTCTTGCAATGGAATAAATAAAGCCTAAGAAGGTTGTCAGAGCACCAGTCAGTCAGGTCATTGGTTGCCAGTCCCGAGTCAGTCAGCCCCAGTCAGTCGTCGTCTCCCACCAGCCCTCCGAGGCCGGGCTGGTGGTACACTGCTGACAGTAGCATAATCCTTCTTCTCTCTCCTCTCAGGCTCACTATTTTATCAGCAGCCTCCCTTATGCTGTTGCGTCTATTTCTGAACCTAGCTTCCTGTCTCCAGTTTTGGGAGACAACACCCTGAGATGGACTTCAAAAACAGGAAACATCTTGTTCCTGTTTGCCAACTCACATGCCCAACTCACATGTACTTAATGAACCAGAGCCACTCAGCTCAAATAAGCTCAAATAAGTACAGATAATAAAATAAGTACAAATAATGTCTACAGACATGCAAGATAAACTTACTCAAGAGTCTTGGCTGAGGCCACAGTGTTTTTTTTATAGCAGAATACAGATCAGTTAGATATGATACAGCAAATAGTCCAGGAGGTGGCAGTATCACATTTCCAAAAGAGGGCTTAGCATTCAAACATTTGTATACTTCAAATAGGTATGATTGGAGATTTAAAGTCTCAGTAGAAAAATAATGTTACGTGGTGGTAACTAAATAGTGAAAAGGAAATAATATGACTAACATTATATAACAAACCTCTGGAAAGACTAGAAATATTTAAATCTCGAAGTATATGGTTGGATAAAAAGTATGTGTAATAGTCACATTGCACACTTACAGACAAAATGTAAATAAGTGCTCAGTTTAATGAGATGCATTATAGGATGTAACTGGAGTGCTGATAAATGTAGTACTTGTAACTGCAAAAAACAGCTGAACATACTGTACTGTATATTGTTTGGGTGTAGGGGACACACTCTTGAAGGTGAAGGATAGAGTAGTAGGTTTGCGTAGGGAATGGAATATTAAGGGGCTTTTGGTAAGTAAACTAGCATAGGACAGGCTTAAAGAGCCCATGGCTGCTCATTTCCAGCCATTTAATGTTTAATCTTGGCTACCTCTAGATTAGCTTGGTACCCCTCATAACTCCAAATAGTCTGTAATTATTTCAGAATGATAAAACCAGAGAGCCTCGTCCTAAAAACGAGAAGATAGTTTGTGAACGCGTAGACCTCCTGCTGCAAGTGTTGTATCAAAAGTTAACAGCCGAATGAACCATAACAGCATTAATTAATTTGAATTTCTCCTCCATAGGTACACGTAAACAACAGTATATGTACCAAAGAGATGTGTAACACTGTCAGGATCGGAGCGTGAAGCTGCCGATAATGTTGTGGGTGAACTCAAATAGCCAGATGAGGACAAGTAAAGAAACACCATCTCTTTAATAAAAGCACATACAACGAACAAAAATGATACAAATCACGGTTTAAACACAAAATGCACTTCTTCTTCTTTCTGCTGTTCCCATTAGGGGTCACCACAGCGAATCATCTGTTTCCACCGAACTATCTTCGGCATCCTCTACTCACCCCAATTAACTTCATGTCCTCTTTTAGCACATCCATATATCTCCTCTTTGGCCTTCCTCTTGACCTCTTGCCTGGCAGCTCGAAACACACTTACAGGACGATAATACAGTCCAGGGTCAGAACCAGCAAACACATACATCCAAGGAATCCAAACGAGATGTCAGAAAGGGGAGTCCGATAAGCCAATACACAGAGAAGCGGTCCGAGTTTGAAGGGGAAGGCAATATATGGTGGTCAAAAACAGCAATCCAGAGCCAGAAACTAAAAACGTTAGGCAAGTATTAATGCTGAAGAGTCAGAGCTGGAGTCTAGAACAATCTGGCAGGTTACTGGTGGGGGGAGGCTGCTTATAATGGGGTGAAAAACAGGTGTGATCAATGAGAAGCAGGTGAAACTAATGTGAGTGATGATTAAAGTAAAAGGTCTGAAACTGTGGTGAAACAAAAACAGGAAGTAATGTCAAAATAAAAGCACGACAGGAAGCAAATGGAACCAAATCATGACACACTCTAAAGTAGGTAATTGAGAAACCCCATATTTTAACTGGCATAATGCAGACATAGTAACTTCTCCAGCCTTACAACAATTCTCTCTAACATTACAGAAACAAGACATTAACAGACATGCAACATGTTTTTTTTTTACTTACCATTAACTCCCAATGAGTAGTGGAAACATTGCTCCCTTTCAAGTAGCTCCAAGGTCGCTAAATCCAACTGGTGGTCACTGCATCTTTCCTCACATGACCACACACAGCCCCATAGTAAAATTAATTGCAACAGGTCACGTAGCGCTGACAATAACATCATGGGTTTTAATCCACTAGTTAACTAGCAACAAATCACATGCGGCAGACATACTGGCCTCAAATAGTCTAAACAAACAGGTACTGTGCTCCAGGGGAATCCAGCTTTAATGAGCTGATCATTGTTAGACAATCTTGGTAGAACAGTGGTTTGAAAACTGAGCGGAGGTGACTGCCATTACAAGTCAGCTGGACCAGCCACTGCTTAACCTGAGTAAATACAATACAGATGCTGTGTGTCAAGCCGCATATCTGCTCTTTGCTTGGGTGAGGACAGGGTTCAGGGATGCTTTGGGCCCTCATTGGGGCCAAATAATGGATAAACTCATACTGAGCTTCCATTCTTTGGCACATCTGTATACAGGGAACCTAAGGGAAAAATGTCATTTGCAACTCTGAGTATTTGCTCAGAAGTAATTGTTTGTGAATTCAATCTGAAAACATTAATCTAACAATTAAAGGTTTTTCTAACATCTACATTTTAAAATTGAGACTGTTGCTATAGCACCACCATTAGGAAAATTGATACCACTATTTTGTCAACTCCATTTGGGATGAGACTGGAGCACTGTGCCACATATGGTGGGTATTCACTCATGGTAAGGCAACACTTTGCGAAAGTAAAACACAAATAACTCTATTCTTACATTGTAGATCACGTCTCGGGTGTTTTTTGGGGAGTCTGGCCCTTGGTTTAATAACATGCAGATGGATGGGGACAAAACAACTGTCTTCCATGATATCGATGGCTCGGTCAGTGAATATCCTGGAGCCTTCCTAGTTAAAGAGGACAACTGGCTGCTCCGTCACCCCGACTGCATTGACGTGCCTGATTGGAAGGCTGCTATCTGCAGTGGCCACTATGCACAGGTGGGTCAGCAGCTGTAAGATTCATTTACACAGTAACAGATCAACGTTCTGTTATACCCTGTTTTGTATTGGTTGATTATATGCATTTTCATATCTTAATCAAAGTTCTCTGAAATCATAAGTTCACAATATGGGCTCTTTGTTATGTCTGTTTACAAGTATTTTACAGGTTTTCAGTTTTCATGGTCAAGTTTCATTCTAAGTCTAATTAAATGAATAAAATAAGTACACTGACGATGTTAAACACTCGGTGGTTAGCCCACGCCAAGCCTTCTACAGTAAGTTTATGGTTGTGTTCTCTTCAGATCTATGTCCAGATCCGTAACCCTGCCAACTTGAATATGCACATAGTGAGGAATGAGTACCCTGATCGACCCTTAACATTAGAAGGTGCCCTGGGGAAGAGGAAACACTACCAGCAGTTCCAGCCAGTGATCACACTGGCCAAAGGCTACACTGTCCACTGGGACCAGGCAGCACCCGCTGATGTCACCGTCTGGCTCATCAACTTCAACAAGTGAGTGGACACATCTGAACAGCATACAACAACCACTTATGACAAACAACCACCTTCATACAAAGCATATTTACAGCAAGTTTAGATTGTCTAACCAAGTGACAATCATTTATGTTCATCATGGACGGCACACAATAGTTAATAGTGTGATGTACTGTAACTGTGCAACCTCTAATTAAATGGATCATTTTTATTAATGAACAGACACACACATCTTGTGGGCAAAACATAATAACTTGTCCATACATAATATACACATTGGTAAGATAATTTGTGTATATGAGATCTTGTGCACACAAAATTCATATAAAATATCTTTTGTTATTCTGTACTTTATCTAAAATTATAACAACATTTTTATTTTCTGTGTGATCAGGATAAATACCAGTAAATGTGGTAGTAGAGTCAGGGGCTATTAAATGTATTTTGGCCATTTATATCCTTAAAATATATGTATATAAATTGAGAGCTTTGCCTTTTGGCTCAGCTCCTTCTTCATCACGATAGTCTGGGATAATGTCTGCATTACTGTGGATGCTGCCCCTATCTGCCTGTCAATCTCACACTCGATTTTACCCTCAATATGAAAACAAGATCTTGAGATACTTAAACTCCTTCACTTGGGGCAGAAACTCACACGCAACCCAGATGGAGATGCCCATCATTTTCCAGCAGAGCACCATGGCGTCAGACTTAAAGGTGCTAACTCTGATCCCCGCCGCTTCACACTCAGCCGCAAAATGCCCCAGTGTGCTTTGGAGGTCACAGTCTGATGAAACTAACAAAACCATATCATCGGCAAATAGCAGGGATGCAATTCTGAGGTCCCCAAACCGGTCATTTTCCTCCCCAAGTTGCATCTTGAGATCCTGTCCATGAAGATCACAAACATGATCTGTGACAAGGGACAACCCTTGGACAACCAACTGGGAATGTATTTGACTTCTTGCTTGAGTATATGGACACAACTCGCACCCTCATTACAAGGAAAAGATGCCTCATACAAACGGCCCTGGTGCCCCATACTCCTGAAGTGGCCCCCACATGAACCCAAGGGGGACCTGGTCATCGGTCTTCTCCAAGTCCACAAAGCACATGTACACTGGGTGAGCACACTCCCAGGACCCCTCCAGTAACCCTGCAAGAGTAAAGAGTTGGTCCAGCGTTCCATGACCCGGACGGAATCCGCATTGTTTCTCCTTAGTCCAAGGTTCGACAACCAGCATTCAAAAGTATTATCTGTTCTTTGAGGTGTCGTGGCTAGAGTGTGATACCGACTAAATTAATTCAGACAAACCATCCCAATTTAAAGGATCATTTAATATTACAATTATTCTGAATAGAGTAGTATTTAAACACATAATCTTGCCAGGCACCGTTTCCCCCCGGCCCTCCGAGGCCGGGCTTGTGGTACACTGTTCACGGTAGCATGGTCATCCTCTCTGCCCCTTCTTCTGCTCTAACCCAGCCTTTTATCTGCTCATACTCACACAGCCGGAGCCATGAAGACGTGGTCCCATGCCAGCTACCCACACACACCTTCTTCCTAGCATCGTCTAAACTGTCCAGTACCTGAACTTCTGGGTCGCATTGACCTAGCGCACATTTCCTTTTTCTAAATCTGAACAGAGCACATGAACAGTTCACATAAGGCTACAGCTACAATATATCCATTCCCTATCTGAGGAGGAAGTCACTCAGGATGTTGACCCATAGGCTAAACAAGGGGGACACAGTCCAAGATATTCCTGCTTGAGCAAGAGAAGAGAAACAGATCAAGCTTCTGTACACACTTAGCTCAGCCTTACATCCTTACACAACTAACCCAAATAATATCTATATGAACTACATACTGTTCTATTACATATCACCTCTGGAGCCTTGTTTTATTGCTAACCACTACAGAGGCAGGGTGAAAACAAGCCTGCCACCATGGGACAGAACATGATGAATTGTAAAACGGATAATTGCTCTGGTGGTGCCTTGTCACTGCATTCTGTCATGCACACAAAAAGAGCTGAAAGTAGTTGTGTTAAGAAAAGCAAAAAAGAGTTGGAGATATTCAAACCTTGCTTACTCCACCTGGACAATCACTGCATAAAGTGGGCACAGCTGTTGGTTCGAGAATTCTGACAATGGAAATGTGTGGAGGAGGGTGTTTCATTCTTTGACATGATAGCAATTCAGCCAATTTATGAAGTATACTTTACACAAAGTGCTTGTCAAAAAATAATTTAGAACACATATTGTATGCATTTGGGTGATGACATAGGTTACAGCATACAGTAAATAAGTACACCCTCACCAAAGCCTAACAAATGTAGCTAACTCTCCTTACCAATAAGATTTATTATGGTTTCTTAACAATGTATTGTCTCAACAATGCTGTTTGTATCTTTTACCAATGAAACACATCAATAATAAACAAGAAAATGTTTTAATTGTTGGAATGATAAAAGGCCAGTGTTAAAAATTGTGTATACCCTACTGAAGGTATCAAAACAAAACTCAGAGTGCAGCTGATCTGCAGATGAGTCTGCTGGACCATCACACTCAAACAGGTGACAGGTGTAAGTGGCTGGCAAATAAAATCTCTATCTGACTCTAGCTGACAACAGCGGCACCACATGGGAGATAACTGTCTGGAGACCTGGTAAAGAAACTCACTTCAAAAGAGGACAAGGGTACAAGATGATACGCAAATCACCTTATGTCAAAACACAGTAGCTAAAGTGACACAGAAATTCAAAAGTTATGGACTCATGGCAAACTCTGGTTCAGAACATCCTTGTAAACTTGCACCTCATAATTGAAAAGCAAGTGTTTCAGAGCTACCAAAGCTGTGGATGCATGAGTGTACCAGCTGTTTCTTCTCACACAGAAAAGCCAGTCCTGCACAGGAGTGGAATACATGATTGTCATCCACACAGGAAGCCAATGCACAAGAAAGCCTGTTTAGAATCTGCCAGGACCTATACTGAAAAAATTGAGTTTTGGGACTCCATACTGTGGTGTGAAGAGATCAAAGTGTTTTTGGATCTGATGACCTCCAACATGTATGGCATCGCTAGGCCGAAGAGTTCATGGCCCCCACAGTGAAGTATGGCAGGGGGAGAGCTCTAATACAGGGATGTATGAGTGCTAATGGTGCAGAGGAATTGTACTTCATTCACAACATCATGAATTCACAGATGTACTTTAAAACAAAAGACAACATAATCTCCTCTCTTCATACCCTGTAGTGTTGGTAGTTTTTCAACATGACAGTGACCCTAAACATTCTTTTAAAGTCACTGCTTCATTTGGAAGATGTTAAAATTCTGCAGTGGCCAAGTATGCTGCCTGACCTTATCCCAGCTGAGCACCTGTGGACCCATGGGCACTCCCTGTCACTGAAGATGACAAATCGTTCTATGTTGTCATTAAGCATATGTTTAATACATTTCAATTTTGTCATCTTTTCACCAGTTGTAATGGTGATCTTTTAGAAATATAAATGTATAAATCTTTTTGTTCAGGGGATACTCATTTCTGTCATTTCCTGTGGCTAACAAAATTACATTTTATTTTCATCACCAAATCCATCTTAAAAACTTTCTGTAAACAGGGTAGCTCCTAAGGCCAACCGGAAGGCTCATTTAGAGTGAAGTGAACTGTTGAAGGATGTCAGCTCAGTCCTCTCAGTCCTGTTTTTTTTTTTTGTGGATTCACCACAGAAAGGTGGAGAGCCCCACGTTGTGTTTCTCCCTTAAAACAGTGTTTATTGCCTTGAACTATTTAAAATGCATACAGGCTGGCTGTCATTTCATGCATGTCAACTATTCCCCATGGCCTGGTCTACCCTGAGATATACAGTGTAGAGCCAAAATAATATTCCACTGCTGGAACACACACCAATGACCGCATCTACAAGTCAGAGTAGTACAGGAAGTGAGACTGACTCTCGGAAAAAATACGCTGAAATATGACTTGTTTATTTTTGTCTTAAGAAAACAGCTGCTGTCTTTCTTTTGAGGGTAAACTAGCTGATCCCGATTTAATGAATAATTCTATCTTTATTCAGTGTGATATATTAAAATGAAGCTTGTGCACCTCCTGCTTGCTTTTTGAAATGTTGATGAAGGATCCTGTAGCAGATTCAGTGAAAAACTGTAGAGCTAAATAGATTATTATCTTTGAAATTAATTATATCAGATTTAAACTTTTCTGTTTTCCCCCTGATCCATCATTATTTGGAAACACAACTTTTCAATAAGGTGTAAACACCAGCACTTTTTTATGGGAACAATATGGAAATCAATGGATTGGATTGATACACATTGTGCATGGCTTTCTAAAGTTAGAGCCCATGTTATTAAATTATAGTAATCACACTAAAATTTTAAGGATTCATTTTTGGAAAAGTGTTGAATAAAAATGCACATAACATGCAACCTATATGCTGCATACAACATACTGAAAAACAAATTATGGAAATCATATGTGATTGCTAATGCATAATTCAGTGTGGTCCAGTCTCAACAAAGAGCAAAACACAGACAATAAAGACAAAAACTATAATAGTAATGATAAAAGTAGTAACAGCAATAATGAAGACATGAATTTGACTATGAAAGGTGATAATGGATTACTGAGATTCTGTGCAGGGGCAAAGGGCCTGTGCATATTAACTGTGAAAAATGAGTGTGCAAAGAAGCAGCATATAATTAAGATGCAGTAAAATGAAACAACATATTAATCTACTAATCAACATATTAAGGTATCGATGTACATTTGAATATAGAGTGCAAATAGATGCTGAGAATTGAAGTGTGCTTTACACAATGTGTATACAAATGTTATGGGCCTGGAAGCAGATATAGTTATATTTACAGTTAAATACTGACCTTGTTACAGATGGGTATTGCCTGGGAAATGAAGCTATGGAGGTGGCAGGTGGTCTTGGTTTTGGGCTCTAAGTCAGATTTTTTAGTGAGGGGACTTTTAGGCAGGGGGACTGGCAGGGCTGATCCTGGAGGTGTACATGTCCGGGGGATGGGGGGATGAGAGACTGATAACTCTCTGCACATCTCTGCAGTCTGTGTTTGGAGGGCAATGATGCAGGGCCAAACCACACAGTGATGGAAGGAAATGTAGAACTACAGCAGCAGCATTTTGATAATTTGTACTTTTTCTGCTACTGTACAAAATGCAAATCCTGCTTCTTGGTGACAGAGGATATGTGCAGGTCCCATATCAAATCAAATCAAATCAAATTTTATTTGCCGCCAAATCACAACAAAAGTCATCTCAAGACACTTTACAAACTAAGGTCTATAACATGTAGTGATAACCTTACTGTTATCACTATTATTACAGAGGGAAAACCCAACAAATCCCCCTTGAGCAAGCGCTTGGCGACAGTGGGGAGGAAAACCTCCCTTTAACGGAAGAAACCTCCGGCAGACCCCAGCTCTTGCTGGGCGGCCTTCTGCCTCGACCGGTTGGGGTGAGTGGATAGAGGAGAGACAAAAGAAGAAAAGCAACAAGACACAACAAACAATCAAACACTGGTCAGGTTGATGTGATCGGTGACTGCACATCAGAAGCGTAGAGCTCCAGGGCCAGGGCTACCTGCAGAAAGGTACAGGGGAGAGAGAGGACACACTACGGGAGAGAGGAGACACATATCCTGCTTAATGGTGGTACCCAGAAATGGGACTCAGACCACCCACTTTGGGAATAGGCGGCATAGATAATGGATAGATGGACGAACTTCTCATCTTGCCATAATCATTAGGATAAGTCTATTGGGTTAATCAAACTCTTTAACATTCACCCAATCAGTTTATTCTGTGCTCTGTCTCAGTTACTTGCCAGTCTAACTGCACTCAATAGCCATTTGATTTTCTTTTTTTTTCTTCTTGATTGTTTTTATTACTAAAAAGAACTCGTCCTTCAGGCTTAAGGTTAAAAATTTGATTGATAATTATAAAGAATTAATTACTAACTATGCAATAGTTTTGTTCATTCCACCATTAACAGAACTGGTGCTCCAAGGTAATTGTTTTATCTGCCAAACTGACACCCTGGACCCCCTGCAGTATGTCTACCGGCCCAACAGACGCCATCGTGGCTGCCCTCCACTATTCCCTTTCTCACTTGGAAAATGGAGACTCCTGCATCCAGATACTCTTCATTGACTACAACTCCACCTTCAACACAGTTGTACCCCACAAACTCACCCACAAACTGTCCACACTGGATCTGCACCCCACCCTCTGTGACTGGCTCCTGGACTTTCTGACTGGCAGGCCCCAGACTGTTTGGATTGGCAATAGGATTTCAGCCAGCATTGTTACAAACACCGGCACCCCACAGGGATGTGTCCTCAGTCCCATCCTCTACACTCTGTTCACCCACGACTGCATCGGCTCCTATAAAGACAACATCATCCTAAAGTTGACAGACAACACCGCAGTGATAGATCGCATCACTGGTGGGGATGAAGCAGCCTACAGGAGGGAGGTGGCCGGTCTGGTGTCACGGTGCAAGGACAATAATCTCAGCCTCAACACGGACAAGATGAAGGAGATGATAGTGGACATGAGGAAGGAGAGGAAATCTCATTGGCCACTGTTCATCCGGGGGCTCGAAGTGGAGAGGGTGAGCAGCTTCAAATACCTGGGTGTCCACGTCAGTGAGGACCTCACTCACTTGGACATTTAACACCACACAGCTGGTCAAGAAGGCCCAACGGTGGCTGTACTTCCTGAGGAGGCTGAGGAGGTTTGGCATGTCACCTAGAATCCTTTGCAACTTCTACAGCTGCATCATTGAGAGCATATTGACCAGCTGCATCACTGTCTGGTATGGCAGCACTACTGCTATGGACCGCAAG